TCTTGAAATGTACTATGTGTTTACCAAGAGAACAAATGTTTACTAGCAGAGACAGAAACTGTGCATAATAACGTAGTTCTGATTTTAGAAATGGATTTGTCTTTTTAGCAGTCATCCATTCTCAAACTATGAAGTATGATTTCAAATTCAGAGTCAGTCTCACTGTTTCTGGAATCATAGTCACTATCTCCCTAGTTTAGAAGAAATGCAGACAGTAGAGGAGAGATAAAAACCCCAAAGGAATAGCAGTTTATCAAAATCCCTTATATTCTCTTTTGATAGTACACTATTTTACTACATCCATATTATGCTGGAGGCATTATACATATATACTGTTACATTATATGCAATATACATAGTTACAGATGGTTCTGCACTATACAGGAATATTCATTCTGAGGTGGCTTTTAGGAAACACTTTGATTTAAACCAAACCATTTATTTTGGTCAAATTTCTCAAGTGTTCTTGTCCAAAGGCCACTTTAACACTTACTGCACTCCTAGAGCAATGCCATGACTTTATTTATCTAATATAATTAATGAAAAGTCACAAATGTTGGATCTATAGCCAGCTACAACATATCAGTGATTTGGATCAAAACCTTAAGTAATTTTAATTGAGTAGGCTGGCCCTAAAGAGGATAACACATCATATAAACAGGGCTGCATGCCCACAAATTAGATCTGTGCTAAACCATGAGAATTAAAAGTGGAGTTTGTTTTGCTCCAGAGCCTCAGCACTGTACAGCTGAAAAGGTGAAAGAATCCCTGCCTCCAGTCTTCATACCAGTGCCTGAAACATCTACTTAGCATCTCATTCATACTGTGTTTAGGGATATATATTCAGCTATAAATTCATAAACAGTACTCTGAAATAATTGAAAAAGAATGTTCAATATTGTCCCAGCACTCCTGTAATAATCTTTACTCGGAGGATTTCAATACATTTTAGGACTACAACTTTCAACATCTGCTTTGAGGTACTGTACATGGCATTAACTTTGCTTTCAAACAGGAAAACCAAGGCACGCAAACTTTAGGCCAGGTTTAAACACATGCTTGTCCTTAAAAAATGTATTATATTATTTATTCACGAATACCTGTTTAGCACCCAGTTACACTACTTTTATTTATTCACTAATACCTGTTTAGCACCCAGTTACACTAGCACTAAATTACCTGTGCACAGAGAAGGTAAGCAAATATAGAAGCATCAGTGCAGCTGAGGTTGGTCCATGACCTACAGTTACTCTCTGCTGCAGGCAGTATTGGAACAGGATGTCCAGGGAGGTTGTGGACTCTCCATCCTTGGGAGATATTCAAAACCCAGCTGGACACAGCCCTGAGCAACCTGCTGCAGCTGACCCTGCTGTGAGCAGGGGAGATGGACTACGTGATCTCCAGAGGTCCCTGCCGGCCTGAACTATTCTTTGATTCTGTCATCTACTGAGATACCATCCAGCTTGAACTCTCCTGTGATCCTAATGAGCCAAATTGTAAGAACACATAAAAAAGGCAAAAGAAAAATCATTATCCAGTGACTCAGCCACCAGTGCACACTGTTGTTTCTACTGTCACACTGGACAAGTGACTTTATTGACCAAGTGATTTATTCTTCTAATGAATTATTCTTCAAGGTATAGATTTGAATAATTTAAGAAAAAATATGCACTGTACATTCCCCTTCTACCTAGCAGCAGCCTTCCTACACAAAGGAAGCAGTTAGCTTTGAAGCAAATTTAGCTGACCTATATATGCCAATCTTTTATGCTATGCTAATCTGTATTTTCAACATGCACTTCTCTCATCTGTGACTCAGGAACTCTGAGTTCACAGTTGTTCAAAAAAATACTCTAAACATACCTCATGTAGGAAAAGTATGGACTTCAGAGAAAAATTACACAGGCTTATGTAAGTAGAGACTGTTGCATAAGGCATAAATTCCAAAGAACAGAATACTGATATTCAGTCATTCTGTATTACCTGAGAACTCACCCAAGCAAACAGTGATACCTAAATTTTGCATAAGCCTCGTTAAAAAAGCAAATGATTCTATAAAAAAAGGTATTTTCCTTCAAATTTTGCTGCTTCCTTTTCAAAGAATTGTAAATGCCACCAGAAAAAACGTAATTTAGTACTATTTCAACTACTAATATCTACGTGGACAACATTACAATGATGAAATCCCAGAATATACATACTTTGGATTCTCTCATAATATCCAAAGAAGAATGACAGCACCATGCCTTGAATGTGGTTAACAGGAAAGGCCCATGTTTGCATATGCCTAACTACAAAGGATTTTGTGCTGTGATTCACAGAAATCCTTTGTGCTCTATATGCCCTTGAATCTATGCTTAAAACCTGAGAGAAAATCTTACCTTTAGGAAAACAAGGAAAATCTGTCAACTGAAATAAACAGACCAATGTGCTGCTATCACCCTGAATCTACAGAAGGAAAAAAGCTATGCTATTAGCTGCATTAACTTTTATGGTTGGGAAGAAAACAAATGACAGTTCTAAAGTATAATGGTAAATTGTCCCAAGTCAGCATCTAAAAATGTCATTGACATCTTCTTAGCAAAAGCTTCTAAGCAAGTGTTTTTATTGTCTTAGATGTGGTACAGATTGTACACGGTGCAGATTATACACCGAGGAATAGTTTATCAAGTGTGTGTCATAAAACATGGAAAAATTCAAACCAAACAATAAATGTATGAGTGAAAATGGAAACTATTACACAACCCTAACTCTAACCAGTCATAGCCAGACACCACTACAAGAACGCCCTACCAGAGAACAGTACAAGCCACAGACAGCTGGGGAGCTGATTTTCAGACAAGAATTCTAGACTGTAATATGCATGAAAGTGCTAGAAAAGGAACACGGTTAATTGATCGATGCATCAAAAATACCAAATTTGAAAAAGCTTTAATAACTGAATTGACATGTTGGGCTGGACAGGGAAGGTAATTTATTGCAGCCTGTGGACCTATGATAGGATTTGTCATTCACAACTATTGGCAGTACATTTTAGATTAAAAAGCATGTAAGAGATTTGATTTTCCTTGGTTTTGCCATCCCTCCTCACCTCTTAGAAATTTCCTTGTGCTCCTTATTACTCCCCATTGATTGTACTGCTCTGAATTCCAAAAGACAAATAATTAACTGTTTCTCTTCTGGGCAAAGCAGAATGGGAAAACTCTACATTATGAATTCTATATTTTTTTTTTAGAAACTGAAGAAAACCAACAGAAGGACTGTGTCAGCAATGAAGATGGCTGCTAACAAATGTAGGCTTCTTAGGAGTTTGAAGAGGTGAAAAGCTGAATCAATATAATTTGGATGCCAGAACCATGGCTGCTTTGGTATAGCTTGTTTCACTTTTGTCAATGCACCTGCTTTGTTGGTACAAGCATGTCCAGCACAAGAGTATTTTGTGTGCTCTCATCTCTGTGCAGGTCATAACACTCCTAGTGTAGACATACCTAAGCCTGCTTTTAGTAACTGGAGCCAACATTTTCACTTAAAGGTAGACTGTGTATCAAAACACCTACAAATAAATATAACCTGACCTTAAAAAGTTTGACCTCCTGAGATAAACAATACTTGAAAGTACTTGGCACTCTTAAGAATGGCCACTTTAAATTGTGCACCAAAAAGGTTCATATTCACAAAGGAGAAAACATTGTAAGACTTGACTTTGTACAGGAAGCAATAACCTTAAACTGAAAATAAACTCCAAGAAGGGGGTATTCATGGTCTTATAGTGGAACTGACAACACCTAGGCTTCTTGGTGGAATTCCTATGCCATTAAGCTATGGAACCTAAATGGAAATTATGCCAGACTGCTTAGTGTTTCTGGACACAGACAAGAACTGAGACAGTCACCTATGTGAAGGGACAAGTATTTACTTACTTATAATAATACAGCTAAACATTTAGAACCTTAACTTGTCTAACTCCTGTCTTGTGCAGGAGGGATTTGACTGCACTGCCCCTGGAGCAGCAGTAGGCAACACAAAGCAGTCTCCTTGGCTGTACTTTCTTCTCTTAAACTACATGATCAGTCAGTGTAACTCATCGAATGCCACAACTTACTATTTCATTCCATCTGCAAATGTACTGGAGAATCATTTTATATTTCCTTCCAGGTAACCAATAAAACCATTGAGCAGTACTACACCATGAACAGATTCCTGTGAGTTCCCATTAGAAGCAACCTTTGAGATGAATACTCCCCAGCTCTAATCACTTTTCAAGATGTTTCTGTTAGCCCATTTTTAATCCATTTGGTATTCTTGAATTCCACTGATTTTACTCACTGTTATTTCATTTTGTTTTCAACTGCAGTGTCAACAGGACTAAGTAAATATCATAAAGTAGTCTTAGTGTATTAATGTCAGCACAGCTATCTCTGTCAACTTCATTTGTGATCTTGGACAAAGCAGTATCAAGTCTGTTTGACAAGATCTATTATCCATAAAAACTTGCTGGCTGGCATTTGGCATGATGTCATATCTTCATCTTTGTTGGAGATATCAAGTCTCAGCCTTCCAATGATTTTGCTTGACCGATAGTTACCTGGATCATCTTGCTTAACCTTTAAAAATTATGGCACAACATTTGCTTTTTCCAGTTCACTGAAAATCCTCTTAGTATGCCAAGATTTGTTAAAAAGCAACCATGATGCTTTAGACGGTTCAACTCTATTACTACTCTCTTGTGCAAGTTCAATGGACTTAGAGAAAATTAAGGAGGAAATATAATTACTGAATTTCACTTCTAACTTCAATTTTAGGAGAGCTGAACCTCTACTAGAATCACCTGCCAGCATTTTCATAATGGAAGTGCAGAGTACCCACGTGCAAGAAATACTTAGTCTGAGTTTATCCATGTGAAACACTCAACGCAACACTCCTAGAGCAACATCATGCAAAAAGTCTATTTTCCCACTTTATTTTTGACCTGAAGTTATGAGGAAAGCCAAGATATTTACCCGATTCCTGGAGATAGCGATACACCAAGAAATTCACTTCGTCACTGGTTATGCTCATCTTAGCCCAACCTCAATATGATGAGGTTTACGAGAAGTGTGATCCAAGCTCTGTTCATAGGAAAAGAAAAGAATAGGTTATGTTATATCTTCAATTATTATGAAAAGTGCTATCAAAACATAGGTGGGAATTGTTAAGGCACTTAAGGATCTCATAGTTATTAGAGCTGTTACATCCCAATGTGAGGCACCCATTAAATATTGTAAATCAAGTACTCAAGCTATACTGCACCTTTTATTGTAATTAAAGAGCAGTAATTAATGGATATGAGAGAGTCAGAGGGAGCATTTTAAATCTTGGAAATTTGTAAATGTCAACTCTTTCACTTCTGTGGCTTTCCTACAGGTTCTTCGGACACCCCTTTTTATTGTGTGGGCATTTTCTTTTCAGAACTGCTGGCAATTACAGCCACGTCTAATACACCAAATCCTAACCTTTTTTGCAGCCCCAAAATTGTAATCCATTTTTTTGTCCACTAGTTCATCTTCTGAAAATACAGATTCTTCCCTTACAAAGCCATGTTACACAGTGAGTGGGGTTGTGTGGGGAGAGAGAGAGAGAGAGGGAGGGAGAGGGAGAAAGAGAGAGAGAGAGAGAGAGAGAGAAAACACCATATACCTTGAGCCAACAAGGAATACAAATATCCTTGCATTATATAAAGTTATAAAATTATGTCGTCTCTGCCGATTAATGGGGATCAAGAATTAAACTTCAATTTTTCACTTAAGTAACTTCAACCTTTAGGATGATGGGTTTACATTATTATTTTGGACATATACTCTGGTAATAAAAACACTGGATTTAGATGATAAATTTGTTTTGAACATTTTCCATTAAATCTTGCTGATTCATTCCTGTTTGGGAATCTGACTTAAGCAGTCTAGTTTCAAAAAACGTAAGCATTCCTCAGACGTAAACTTCACAAGTTTGTCAGCCACATCATACCTATAACTAATCCTGCAAAGATTTGGGCACAGAATCACACACTATGCTCTCATCACATATCACAAACCAGAGTGTAGGCGTGTGCTGTTTGTTTCAATTTCCCGTATGTCTCTTCTTGGCAAGCGGAAAGGTCGTCTTTGTTCATTGAAAACCTCTTCAGTAATTCCT